AAACGTTGTACATTTGCTGCCATGTTAAACTTATATTAAAGTTTTTTCTTCATTACCCATTTAAGCCGTCTCCAACTCAACAGTTACTAGATGCAAAGTGTGCATTGTGCAAGATCTATTTCATTAGCAATGTGAACAGGGACAACAAAATAAGTTTCTGCATGCATGAGATCTAAACAACATGAAGTAAGCACTAAATGCTACAAACTTTTCTAAATAACACTGTTTTTATTATACTTTTTCACATACATTTCAGTGCCACTCAATTGCAGCAGGCAGGTGAAAATGTCTAATAACTAATGCATTCTTCTAACAAAGAATAGCCATTGTATGATTCCAATGAAAATTTCCCCACCTTCAGCGAAAGAACCGTAATGCAACAAAAAAGAAATTGTAAGTAATTTCAAAGTACTGTGAAATAGATTAAAGCTTGACAGTTCCCAGAGGTAATGCTGAAGATGAGACTATTCATTTTGTCCAAAGCCAATACAAAGAGCTTTCATTCCCCATCCCAACTATTCTGAGCAAAGTGAGTCACTTTTTGACTTACAAAGTGAGTCACCACTTGGCTTACAAAGTGAGTCACCACTTGGCTTACAACAACGTTAAACTAACATGATTCACATTTCACTTTGCTGTAGTAAACTGACACTCAAAGTTTTTTGTCTGAAATCTCCAGCCAACCCTTTTTTTTACAGGTAATTTCATTATGTGGTAACAACCAAAAACTACACTCAACATACCTTACTTTCTTGGAATGTACTTCAAACACAGTTGAGGGAAAATGTTATCATTATATTATACATATTATTCCTTTTTAAGTGATAAGTGACAAATCCTCTTGCTAATGAGCATTGGATTCAAGATGGGAAGGGGGTGGGGAAGGTTACAATTCCAACTTAATCAAGGAGAACTGATGATAATAAAAGAAAGTGATATCTATGAGATAACTCCAGAATGTGATTTAAAAAATGCTGGAGTTATATCAACTCCAGCAGTAATAATATTTGTGTAAAATCTCAATATTACACAGTAATCCTTTCACTACAACAACCAAGTACATTAGTTACAAGCAGTACTTTTAAAACAATTCCCAGTCAAGCACAGACACATCCCATTTTTATAAAAGTCCTCATTTTGCAACTTTCTACTACTGATACGAAATGTCTAAAAAAATCTACTGGAGGCAGTTGTATAAGTTGTATGAGGAATAGTTCAATCTGTAGCTATTATTTCACTCTAAGTGACTACTTTATTTTATTGTGTTGAGTTTGGTGTATCTCGTATATTAGCACAAACCTAGACAAGGGCTATCTGTCCCTAATTTTGAATTGATAACACTAGAAGAATAGGAACCTACCACCAATGTAAAGGCTACTCTAACTCAATAGTAGGACCTGACAATTACTGTAAAGTGAAATTATTACAGATTCTATTGTAATAACATTGTAGATAAGAATACTTTGTCTTCTCAATTGGGTTCTAAAGTAACTGAACCGGCCTATGTGGACTTCGACGAACGACAGATAATTATTTAAAGCTCTGGGTACAACTGTGATAACCAACAGTGTAACAAACATTTTTATATATATATATTTGACTTCTTTCAACATATCTTAAAACAAATGGACTGTGTGATGTTTGTTTATTGTTGAAATTTAGCACCAACAAGTCACAGACCCCTAAAGTAAGGAATCTGACCCATACATAAAACCTGACATACAGTCTGGCACACTAACTAATAGGACACACCCAGTCCTTCATGCTGGGAAATGAACTGAAAACTTGTTAAAATATGAAAGGCCAAGTTTAAGCCTTTCTGATGCATCTGATTATGAAACACTTTATGCATACCAAAAGTCATTACATAAAAGATAATAATTATTACAGTATTAGATGGTACAAATCAAATATTCAAGTTTAAAATGTGTTTTAATAACGAATGAAATGCCAATCCTCGCAAACAATAAAAAAAACCTGTTAAACAACTGCTTATTACAGAAATATGCAGACTTACAAGTTTGGCTGCTTGTGCTGTAACAACATCAGGATACTGTATCAGAGCTTGGAATGTGTCTAGAAAGTAAGAGTAAGGAAAAACTAGGTGCTTCTGACTTCTTTTAAGCAAAATTTAAAACTCCAAAATCAAAATAGTTTCCTACCTTTTTTTTTCTCTAATTAAAAACGATTTTTTAACACAACATTTCACAAAGGTTAGAAACTGTATCTAATTACTTCTAATAAGTACATAAGCAGTTTTATACAAATAATAAATACAAAAAATAACCAAAGCTGAAATGTATTTTACTGGATTTACAAATAATTGCAAGAAAAAAAAATCATATTTTTTTTTGTTTTATAACATATTTTTTAATTTTTCGTTATTTTAAATTTTGTCTACCCAAGCACACAGTTTGAATTTTGTAATGAACTGTGCCTAAAGCTAGAAAACTTACTATTTTTGGTAAAGGTAATAATTTTCAGAATTTTCCCCACTCTGGAAAATACCTACATGAAGAAACAACAACACCATTATTAGTCTAAATTAAGAACTGTGTAGACTCAAAGTTATTCCTTGTGCATGTTTGAACAAAATACAACATTTTAAAAGAAACTATAGAGCTAAGACTAGAATTCCTGTTCCTTCTAGATAGTTGTGTTGATTAAGAGGATGAAATATTTAAAACTTTCTTATAAAACTCATAAAAAATATTTAAAAAACTATTTATTTAGCTACCATATTCTGCTGATGTAACATTATTAAATAACTTTTACTCACTGTTAAATAAAACCAGTATTTGTGGCTGTTATTTTGTTTCTACAAAAAAATATCAATATTTAAAATGAACCACCCAATAGATAGACTTAACTTGTTCTGGCTTAGATGAAGACCACATTCACCAACAACAAACTGACAATTGAAACACAACTGAGGGTTCTATGTTCATCTAATCAGTCTTTATGGTTCCAAATGTTGGACAATATCACCAACAATAAACTGACAACTGAAACACGACAGAGTTCTATGTTCATCCAATCAGTCTTTATGGTTCCAAATGTTGGACAATATCACCAACAACAAACTGACAACTGAAACATGACAGAGTTCTATGTTCATCCAATCATTCTTTATGGTTCCAAATGTTGGACAATATCACCAACAATAAACTGACAACTGAAACACGACAGAGTTCTATGTTCATCCAATCATTCTTTATGGTTCCAAATGTTGGACAATATCACCAACAATAAACTGACAACTGAAACACGACAGAGTTCTATGTTCATCCAATCATTCTTTATGGTTCCAAATGTTGGACAATATCACCAACAATAAACTGACAACTGAAACACGACAGAGTTCTATGTTCATCCAATCATTCTTTATGGTTCCAAATGTTGGACAATATCACCAACTATAAAGAAGCACATTGATGCAGCAGAAATGTGGTTCCCAAGACGAATGCTTAAAATATCATGGAACACACATACAAGTAATGAAGTCTTTCTACAGAAGGCCAAAACAAAACGAATGTTGTGGGAAAATGCAAAAAGAAACAACAGAGTTTTATTGGACATATCATGAGAAAAGGAGAGATTGAAAACATCATTATGACAGGAAAAAATCCTAGGAAAGCAAAGGAAAACAAAGACAGATGCTGCCATCAATAGTTGCCAAAGAACTAGGAATTACCACTATAGAAATGATGAGAGCAACGGGAGACAGGGATCAGTGGAAGACCATTCTCACTAATGACCTAGATGAACATGGTACTTAGAGAGAGAGACTAAATCTAGTTTAATTATCATCACACACCTCACTAGATGAGTAGTTTAAATCTCACCTGATAGAGAACATCAAGTGTGACAGGGTAGATCTGATTATCAACTATTACCCTGAGTACAGTGTTTGGACCACCCCGTGTCTCAGTTTCACTTGCTAAAGCTTGGGCAGCTTGTAAAGCAGCTTGAGTACTGGCATGCTTGAAGTGAAATATAACAAAAAAAACTTTTATACAACTTTTCCCAAATTAAACAACAAAAAAATGACTGCCAAACAATTCTAGCTATTAATAACTAAAGACATTTCTATAACGTTGATTAATAGTACTAACATAGGATGCACATTTTCTGTTTGATTATGTTGCAACATTAAAAGAAACTAAATAAAGATAAATAAAGTTACTTACAAATATTACCTATGACATTCAAAGCATCATAGTTCATTAAAGTGAGATGGCAAAACTCAAGCTTATGAACAAACAGATAAATGGATATAAAAACAAACCAAAAATATATGGATACAACACTGGCTCTATACTATACTCTGTTGTACAACACAATTATGTGAAATCGTAGTTCTATTTTTCCTTCACTAAAACCAACAAAAAAAAAGTTTCTAATGTTTAACCACAAAGATTATTTATTTTTTGCAAAAAAAAAACCAAAGAAAAAAAAACTCATTAACTTTACTTAGCTAGTTAAAATCATTATCAGATAAAGTAGTAGTCAACAAGACAAGTACAGTAATTATTTTAACCATTTATGTGTATATATTTTTCTAGTGTTACAAAGCTGTATCAATTTACTTGTGTTAATTAACTTAAGTTTGATAAGAATAATGTTTTTAGTTACATTTGTAAGTTAGATGATTTGTAATAATTCTATGATGTTAAAAAAAAATCACATATATTTTAGCAGTAATTAAATGGCAAGTTGCTACACACTTAACTCCCATAAGTATATTCAAATGTTTTCTACACTATCATATATTTCCAAACAACAAAAAATTATGTAGACACAATGTATGGATAAAAAACATCTAAGTTTAATTGACTATAGTTAAAGGTAGGATACATTTTGAACATGTTTTTCTTTGTTCCTGATATGGAGATAAAACATGGCTTTTGATCAAAATCTCTACATATGGTTAAACAAGTAGGCCCTTAAAATGAAAAGTGATCAGAGTACAAGACTTGGCACAAACAGGTCTTGTTTAGACAAAGCCTCGGTCCTGTCTGAGCAACTCAAAAAATAACCTTGATTATGAGGCAGGTGAAACGGATATCAAACAGAGGAACTACAAATACTGGCCCTGTAATACTTGCTACTATAATCAAAATCTACTACTTACACCTATGACAAGAGAACTAAAAACAGAAATTGTACATATCTTCTAGACAGAGAGAACACTCATGAAAAAAATAAAAAAATTACTAATCACACATGTACTTCACCTGATTTGTTTCTGTGATTATACAATATAGTGAAACATTTAAATATTTAGTAATAGACAGATTTAAAAACACTAGAATATTTTTTAATATATCTATTTATTAAGTTTTAAACTCAACATTGGCAAATTTTAGAAAATAGTTACTGGTGTGTCAGTATGTTACCTAGCCCATCTTACGTATGTTAGCTTTTAGCAAATCTCAGTTTTTTAATGCTTGTTTTAAATCTGTATCCAATTCAAGTTTATTCTAATAAGAGTAAGTATAGTCCCCTCAAGCTGTATATCTGTATATAAATTAGTAAGACCTTAGGGATTATGCTTACATTTCTAACATTCAAAATACAAAGCTCTGGAAATCTTACATCTTAAGCTACAGCTACAACACAAGAATAAACCAATTAGTTAGTCAAGTAGCTTTGACCATTATTTCAGGAATTACATGCATGGAAAGAAGAGTCTTGCATAAGTTTATAGACAATTTTTTGGAAGATGAATCTTTCATTATTTTGATGATTTAGATTTAAGAGCAAATTCCATTGGCTTTTAAAAAAGTATTTTATTTTTATGGTGAAAATTCTATTGATAAAAAGGGGAAGTTACTAACTGCATTTGAGTGTGTGCTGTCTGTCTTCAGTTCCTTGTGGTTTGAGTACTGCACAAAAACTGTTCGTCCACGAATGAGAGGAGCACCTGAACTGGTGTAATAGTTTACCATGGAGGTAGCAGCGGCATCATCTACCATCTCCACGAAAGCCTGAAATCAAAGTTTAAACTGTTTTCAGCTAGCCATCTACTATCTACAAGTTATCTAGGAAAAAAACATTATTCAAATTATATTTAATGTAATTATAATTACCTTAATCTGGGACAATACCAATTTCAACATAACCTTAGTCTGGGGGATAATATTTATCTGAGACAATAAATCTAAAGTCTGTAATATATCTGAAAGATTATCTTAACTAATTATATTATGTTACGGAATAACTATGAGGTAATCTTAATCTGAGACAACACTGATTTCAAGATGACATAGTAGATTATGAGACGATCTTAATCTAAGATAACACTGATTTCAACATAATATAAAAGATTATGGGATAATCTTAATCTGAGACAACACTCATTTCAAGATGACATGGTAGATTATGAGACGATCTTAATCTAAGATAACACTGATTTCAACATAATATAGAAGATTATGGGATAATCTTAATCTGAGACAACACTCATTTCAACATGATATAGAAGATTATGGGATAATCTTAATCTGAGACAACACTGATTTCAAGATGACATGGTAGATTATGAGACGATCTTAATCTAAGATAACACTGATTTCAACATAATATAAAAGATTATGGGATAATCTTAATCTGAGACAACACTCATTTCAACGTGATATAGAAGATTATGGGACAATCTTAATCAGAGACATCACTAATTTTAACATGCTGTAAGAGATTTGATTAACTTAATCCCAGAAAAGACTGATTTTAAACTAACCAAGGTCTAAACAGTTATTATTCTGGAACATTGTTGATTTTAAATAGTTGCAACATATTTAAAGAATAATTTTAGCTAATATGATACTGTTTTTAACCCACTATGGAAACTCTAAAGGGTAGTTTTCACTGATACAATAAATTTAACACATCATAGAAATATTAAATAAATTTTTGACACAAGATTTTTTGATGTTTCTGTCAAAGTTCTTAAGAGTATACAAATATTTCTGAAATTAACAAAATAATTCTCAACACTCATAAATGCAGAAAACAAATACCATAAGAATTTTGATAACTTGTGCACATAGAAGTCGACTTATCAGCATTTACTTAGTTTATCAGGTTTAAGTGAAATGAGCACTTATTCCTGTAACAGTAAAGTGATAAACATTTCCTCTTATCTCATATTAATATTTTACTGACTATATGGCTTGTTTACTGAGCAACATTGATTTCTTTAATTTCATTAAAATTACATAATTCATTTTTGAAACACCAACAAATTTTACCAATAAAAATAGATTTATAAAAGGGGTTTATTTTTATTTCTTTGCTTTACTCAATCAAAACAAATCAAACACCATAACAGATTATTAATAATTCTTTCGAATTAGATACAATCCCACATTGTCAGATTTAGTTTTCAATCTCAAATGAGTGTTATGATGACAGCAAAACAATCCAAATGAGGTGAAGTAGGTTTCTGTGCTTAAAATCCTTTCAATCAAAACTATTAGCTAACCAATGACTTCCAGTGAGTATTATCTTATTTTATTACATGCCTAACAACAGAAGGGAACAACAGTACTGATATGATACAACTAAGTACACTGTCTAGTCTGTGTATGGCTTTGTCCACTCTTGTGGTAGTTTTAGTTGAGAAGAAACAACAACAACAAAAAACAGCACCTCACAAGCATGTGTTGGTGGGTTAACCTTGAAGTTTGTAATGTATCCACCTGTCATGAGAGAGATTTGGGGTTTAACTGTGAGCCAAGGAAAACAAAAATAAATTACCACACACACACACACACACACACACACACAAAAAGTAGTCATCTCACAACCCTGAGTATGGACTTAGTTTGTGAGAAGGAACCAATTTGATACTTTGACATGTTTTAAGAAAAAATGTATTCATTACCAAGTGTTACAGGGTTAACCTTTTTTAACAAGTGACCCATTCACCCACATTTTGGACAGGCAGCTGTCTATCAGAGTGGGAAAAAACATAAATTTAAATTCTGTACAAACAAAATATGTTTGGATATAACACAGGAAATGGAAAATGTCTTTGTCCTATATCATTTAATGAAGCATTTGATCCCTTCTGTTGTCTCCCCCTGGGTTGAGCACTTTATATAACTCCAAAAACTTTGGAATGAACTTATTTATAAATCAAATATTTCAGCTAAATATTGTAATTTTCCCATTCATAGCTCAAGAGTTTCAAAGTTTTGTCATCAATAGCAGTACCTTATTTTTTTGTCCACTCACATCGAAAAAACATCATCCATTCAATGTTCGTGCATATTAGCAAAACTATGAACACAAATCTCAACATATAACCTACATTAAAGATGCAAGAAATGTATGATTCTGAATACAAGCACTAACAAGTAACATCAAATAAATATTTAACAATCTCAAATAGAAATTCAAACACTATTATGTGACTCTAAATAAAACTCAGTAGCATATAATCTTAAAAGTGACAATAAATAACCCTAAAAGAAACAAAATAATTGATACAAGCTATGAACAATATACAAAATCAATCAAATTACTGAAACTGTCTTAAGTATAGACTTAAATACAAATAACCTTATGTGGAAATTGAAAGAAGTACATAAAATTAAAACACTAACAACTAATAACAAATGGAGTTTCCGTCTACATTGGTATTCTGTTCTCACTCTTAGTTTATATATTAATTTTTTCCTTTGTTATTTTAATGGCTTGCACTCACACTCTCTTTAAAAAGATTAAAAAAAACCCAAAAAAACTACGGTCTAATTTCCTGACATTTTTTGACAAAAATAGACTTGTAAATACAATCTGTCAGTCACAACATTCCCGAGTCCAATTTTGGTATTGGTCAAGAGGAAGGTTTGGTCAAAATAAAACCTTCCCAATGAATACACATTACATATTTATTGAAAAACTGATATGGAGTTGAAATTTAGTAAATCACAAAACTTAAGAAAGACAGTTTTGAATGGTAACTATTTTCTCTCGAAGACTGATTATAATATTTTTTTCTATTTGAGGTTGTGTAAAAATATGGTTATCGTTTAGGCACATCATATTTAGATATTTTTCTATAATAAAGGTTAAATGCTACCTCATGGTTTCCTTTTTTTATTTTTATTGGCATTTTTTTTGTCAAAAGAACTAGATAACTTCTGATAGTGTTTTTCATTTGAAACTTATCCCACTCATTTTATAACTTAAACTCAACAGTTCACTTTCCTTTAGTATTTCTGTAAGTGTTTCTTGCCATTCAAGGTTTGGATAAGGACACCAGCCAAATGGCTGCAAGGACATTTTCAAGGTCATCTCACCCTTCAGCAGACAAAGTACTTCTTGCCTGATGAATAGTTTGACAACTTTGGCCTTCACATAGTGATTATATGGTGTCAGCAACATTAACTAGACAACACTGCAAGGATCTTAATGCATTAATATGAACACCTCTATCCATATACACTGTATGAACTCCATTAACTATTATGTTTCCTTTATTTAGATTACTTTTTTATAGTAAGTGTATATTTTTATGATATATATTTAAATATATGTATAATTTATGTCCATACATTTACTCCGCAGTCAATGGTAGACAAGAAAACTAAAGAGTGAAAGTAATATCATTCAAGGCCAAGTTTGTTTCATTCAATGATTAATTTTGTTGAAACTTTTTATTTTGGCAGTGAAGTTAGATTATGCTGGGTTTAAGATATCTTTCCAAGTATACTAGAGCAGGTTCATTGTCTTATTTCTTTTAAGAGTATGACACTATTACACCATTGAAGTTGGCCAACTGCCTCCGTTTCAATGAGTCCAATTAAAGGCCCTTCACGAGTTGGTGACTGGTAGTTTCCATGAAAATGCGAGTATTTGTATATTTACACAAGTTACTTTTTGTAGCAATTCAACCAGCCTAAATCAACTTTCCTTAACTGTACTTTTAGTTCTTAAACTATTAATCTAGTTAAAAAATTGTTACAAGTTTCATTTCTTCAAAACTCTGAACAAGCTTAAACACTATCTCTTCTGATTATCAAACTTGCTCCCTTTTTTGTTATGTCTGTCTGCCATTCGCATTAATTTTTAACTGCATACACCAACTGTTTTTAGTATTTATTTTTGTGTGTACTGATGAACAAAAGGAAAGCAAAACAACCATGGTTGAAGTAACATTACACTAATTGTATGTACCATGATTGAAGTAACATTTCACTAATTGTATGTACCATGGTTGGAGTAATATTATGCTGATTTGTATGTACCACGGTTGGAGTAATATTACACCGCTTGTATGTTCCATGGTTGGAGTAATATTATACTAATTGTATGTACTACGGTTGGAGTAATATTATACTAATTGTATGTACTACGGTTGGAGTAATATTATACTAATTGTATGTACTACGGTTGGAGTAATATTATACTAATTGTATGTACTACGGTTGGAGTAATATTATACTAATTGTATGTACTACGGTTGGAGTAATATTATACTAATTGTATGTACTACGGTTGGAGTAATATTATACTAATTGTATGTACCATGGTTGCAGTAATATTATACTAATTGTATGTACCATGGTTGCAGTAATATTATACTAATTGTATGTATCACGGTTGGAGTAATATTATACTAATTGTATGTACCATGGTTGCAGTAATATTATACTAATTGTATGTATTAGTCGACAGCTCCATTAATCTATTAGTATAATATTACTCCAACCGTGATACATACAATTAGTATAATATTACTGCAACCATGGTACATACAATTAGTATAATATTACTGCAACCATGGTACATACAATTAGTATAATATTACTGCAACCATGGTACATACAATTAGTATAATATTACTGCAACCATGGCAGTGGCAACAAAGCCTTTCAATCAATGGCCCAATAAGCAAAGTAGAACAAAGAGTATCAGATGGATAGTTGTCAAGCTGTTATGGGTACTGGGTGAACAACACCCCATACATGACATGAATTTACCTTGTGTGTACAGTTTTTTTTTTAGTGAAATTTGAAGCCATTGGGATATTAAAACACCAGTGAAATTAGAATTGTGTATCTAACTTTTTTGGTTAGCCCTGTATGTTGAGATATATAGTAAGTAATATTGTGACTGATGGAATGCGGGTTGAGTTTAACACTGTTGTCGTGTTTATAGTTAATTTCCAAGGTGTCTCTATTCAGCATTGAGTCACAGCAAGTAGTAAAGTAGTTTGCTGTCTGTCCAACTTTCTGTTCTTAACCTGCAAGAATACCTCAAAAGCAACAAATGTATGGCTACAGCTGGCTGACTAGAAATATTTGCTAGTCAATGGTTAGGGCGCTCGAATCGCAATCTACGGATCTCGTGTTCGAATCCCCGTCCCACCAAATATGCTCGCTCTTTCAGTCGTGAGGGTGTTATAACGTGACGCTCAATCCCACTATTTGTTGGTAAAAGAGTAGCTGAAGAGTTACTGGTGGTGACTAGCTGCCTTCCCTCTAGTCTTTCACTGCTAAATTAGGGACGGCTAGCGCAGATAGCACTCGTGTAGCTTTGCGCGAAATTCAAGATTTTGTAGGTAAGGCTCGGGAATAGCCATTCTTAATTTTTAAACTACTGTCCAGAGAAAAACGCAATTGCCATCATAAGGGTTTTTGTTCAAATCTTTGATCGAATAACTGGATTGCCTACAACTCTGATAACACAACTACAACTCTGATAAGTAAAGTTCCAAGTATGGTTAGTCTAACATTACTAAATTAGAGATGGCTTGCGCAGATAGCCCTGTGTAGCTTTGCGCGAAATTCAAAACAAACAAACAGTAACGTTAATTAATTTTTAGTAACGATACACAATATTAATTCAGAAAATAATTCATTTAACGGTAACAAGTATAAGTTACAATAATAATATGGCCTATGGTGACTCAGTAATAAGTGTTAGAACTTATAACGCTAAAAATCGGGTTTCGATATCTACAGCAGGCACAGCACAGATAACCCATTGTGTAGTTTTGTGTTTATCAACAAACAAATAATATAAGAATAATGAAATTCTGTTAGTATTTACAACGTAAACGGCACCCTGTATAGGTACAAATGTACTAAACAACTATGTTCAAGACTTCAATGACCAGGGAGGGAAGGCAGCTAGTCATCACCACCCACCGCCAACTCTTGGACTAATCTTTTACCAACGAATAGTGGGATTGATCGTCACATTATAACGCCCCCACGTCTGAAAGGGCGAGCATGTTTGGTGGGACAGGGATTTGAACTCGCGACCCTCAGAATACGAGTCGAGTCGAGCGCCCTAACCACCTGGCCATATTAACGTTACTACCATTGTATTTTAAACGATTCAACGCAAAGCGTATAATTTCAGATATCAATAACAGGTAGGCAAACAACGAATTACAAGTATAAAGAAAAGTTTTATTGATGGTGGAACACATAACATGTTAATGAAAAACTCCCGAAGAACAGTGTAATTATAAATATGAACATAATTAATACAAATAAAATTTGACAACATTTTCCTTAAGATTTGGTTTTTTGTCAGGCTTTTCAAAGTAAGATTTGTTTTTTTGTCAGGCTTTTCAAAGTAAGATTTTTTTTTTCTCATTCGATACAGTGTGTGAATATAAGTTTGTTTTTACCTAAGATCATAAGATAATCGCTATTATAGCCCTTAAGTGAAATTTTACTTTGAAAAGCCTGACAAAAAACCAAATCTTACTTTGAAAAGCCTGACAAAAACAACAAACAAAAAAAAACAAATCAGACCTGGTTCTTTCCCTTCAACAACAAAATATTATTGACTCGTCCGAATGGGATTCCGAGGTGGATGACGTCCATTTCTGTCGCCTCATCTGGAATGTTTCTGACGTGTACCACCCTAGATGGTTTATCTGGCTGGTTCCTTTCCAGTTTCACCTACAAGAAGAACGACCAAAATGTGTCGTATTATCAACTACTTGGGTCAATGAAATAATAATTAGCAATTAGTGAACGCTAAATAATCAAAGTAATTACAAGTTAAATAAATAAAGATACTAAAAAAACATTGCATATTGCCTACCAAGCAAACTGAATCGATCCATACGAGATTCATGTTGAGGTGGAGGAGCTGAATCAACCTGACTTAAATTACATTACTATTTACGAATGAAGTTAATTCCAATTTTGAATTCTGTTCTGCAAACTTTCTGTTAGAATTAGAAATTAGTTTTTTTTTAACAGGTAGAGAGAAATGTAAGAAAATCACGTGTTCTAATCGTTGATGACGAGTTCAAGTTACATTTTAACTTATACAGATAAGCTTTAAGAAATGAGTATGGAAAGGAATATCATAATTGACTATTAACAAGTTAAAAAAAAGGAAGAAAAAAGCACGGATTATTCAACACCCATTTTCCCATCATGCTACGAGGGAATAAAACCCATGCCCGAATTCAAAATTCCACATAAAACACGGTAGTGGTCGTACACGTTAATACTGGCAGTAGAATATCTGGTTTCTCAGCTCTATAAAGCCGTTTTTTCTGCGGTTTTAGCGAGTTATGTCAGTAGAGATAGCCGAGGACGCCTCAACTATACTTATTTGTTCATTGTAAGGTGGCTACGTGTGGTACCTAACTAAAAATGAACACACCTACTATTTTGCGTACGAAGAACACAGTCTGGCTCTTCCTCCTAAACTCAGCATCTTCGTGTCTGAACACTATCGAAGGGCAAGTGTTTTGGCAGTAAAGGTTTTTTTTTTAGGTTAACAGATTAAGCCTTTTATAAAAGTATTGTTGCGTCATCGAGATCATGTGATTCTCACGCTCTCTACTTTCTAG